GCTATGGACAAGCGTGTTACCAAAAATCAGGGAGATGACAGCACTGCAATAATGTTATTATTCTACCATTGTATAACACTTTTTGATCTCTGGATCTCAGCATAACATTACAGACATCTGTGAGCCACCCCCTGTAAAAACACAGCAAGGCAGACCCACAAAATGAGTAGAGATGTATTGTTATAACTATTTTACATGGGTGAACCCAGATGCAGAGACCAGATGCCCAAGACCAGTAAAGAGAGTAATTGAACTGGAAATAAACCCCAGAGGTTCAAATTTCCAACCTGTTCTCTAGTTACAAGACATCTCCCTGTGATCCTCCTCCTCATACTGGAAAGCCTGGAAAAGCCTATTGAATGGGTATCACAGCTTTTTATGTTAGGATTCAGCAGTTGTTTCAGCCACGTTTGAAAGGAATGAGTCAGGAATTTGTGTATGTGGGAAGTGGTTTCCTCTCACATTACTGTATGTATGTATGAAATACATTTCCTCTACTATGAAGTTGCTGAAAGAGAAAATAAAGTAGTGCAGCTGACTGGCACTTTAGTGGCTGTACTTCGACCCTGATAATGAAAAGCCAGCGGCCTCGGGAGGCCAGTTTGGATAATGCATTTCGTAGAAAAACTGGTGAAGTCACTTGCTTTCTTAAAAGAATGACTAGGAAAGGACAAAGTGGAGAAAAAAATACCAATACTAAAACCTAATAAATTAGAGACCAGGTTCATTAGCGAAACCTGGCCTGACTGAAACTGCAGGAGAAAATCTGGCTTTAAGACATGAGCTGTAATGCAATAGTGAAGATGCCTCCCTCTGTGCTTCAGACAGTTTTTGTAGCAACTAGTGTTCAGGAATCAGAGATAACAGTAATGGCTTGTGCCTGCAATCATTACAGCTATGGCACGCACAGTATGCAAGGCATTTAATGTCAAACTTACCAGCATCACGCAGCGAGACAGCGGCAAGACTAAGTAGAATGCAGGTCACCTGTCTTCCAACCCCGGTCGTAGCCAGAGGACCAGTGACATTGCAGAGCCCGCAGGTTTTATTTGCCATAACATTGAACCACAGAATTTGGGTTGGGGCTAGAACCTGCTCAAAGATGAGTGTCCTCAAATCCTGGGAGCTGGTATGGTCTTCCTTCTGTCCTTCAAAGCTGATTTGTTGCTGGAGCGATAGGCTTCTGAGAAGTCTGGAGCCTGGAGAACACCCCGAGTGGCTGTTCCCGTCTTCTGGGGAACTGAAGGGGAAAAGAAGGAGTTTAAGGGCTGTTCAGAGAAGTGCGCTGAGGCAGAAACGGGGTTAGGGGAAGAGAAACAGAACAGACTTGCACAAAGCTTTCAAGAGGACTCTGAGCTTCTGAGGGGAGCGCTACAGCCAGCAAAAAATTGGACAAGGAAGGAGACATAGGTGAGGACTATAAGATTTCCCCAGTTGTTCCTTAGCTCAACAAAAAATTTAAGGTTCTTTTTGACTTGAACCCTGGAATAGTTCCATATATTTAAAGACCAGCACTTTTTTTGAAGTACTTTGATGAGCTATGCAGAAGACAGATTTGCCAGGTATGTGTTAAAAAAAGGATCTTACTGCTGTCAGTAAAGAACTTCTAAAAATAATGTTATACATATGTATATAAAACACATAGGAGTATACATCCTGGAACACTTAAATGCATTTTCGTTTGAAGGTGATTTCTTATGGCGAGGCAGACCAGCCTGTCAGGAGCCACAGCTCTGCACCGTGCTGGTTCTCTCTGCTCTGGCAGCACAAACACGTAGCCCCGGCACGGCCTTCACTGTGGCTGCCATCATAGGTTATTAGTAAATCATTCCGTCAGACACCCAGGCAGGGCAGTAAACACAGAGGACCTATTTGCCAAGAAAGGAAGGGAAGTGTACTTCCACATACATTCTATGTATATTTTAGCCATTTTCCAATATTTCCTTTGCTTTCAACCTCTACATGTCAAATGATAGTAAATTGCAAATGTACTAGTTCCAGCTGAGCACAACTGGGGGTGAAATAGCTTTTCTTTGAAGCTGAAGCTAGAGTCCACTTGAAAAGCTGCAGGGAGAGCCACAGAAATTTGCAACAGAGTAACTGAAATTCTGACCTGGTGATTCAAAGCATTGTGATTCATGAAACAAATTTTCAGAAGAGCTACATAATCCATTAGGAGAGCAGCCTGTGAGAGAGACCATCACTGTAGCTAAGATAGCAATCACTAGGTAAACAGCTTATTAAAAGAATGTCATTGTCTTCCAGATCAGCAGAAAACCAATATAGATCTTCATGAATATATTTTAACATTAAAAAAAAAATATTATTCTAGCATTTGTTTTCATTGCTTTTCAGATGATCAAGGATCTCATGACACATTTCAAGTAGAGGAAAAAATATAAGATGAAGATCCAGGGCCAAATCCTTCTACATCTGAACCCTCCCTAGGAAGAGATCGGCAGGATCGTTCCACCCCACTTTGGCTCCGCTGCATGTTGTAACATTCTGGGAGCACCTCTCATCTCTGTTGCCAGGCTCTCCATTTTGATGCTCCCTCAGCCTCTTACCCAGAGCATATTTGGGAGTGCTGGTAGAGGAGTTGACAGCTCTGTGTGCACCAAGGCAATTTTCTGTTGGCAAATCAAGGCTTCCCAAGTGGCACAATACTGCTGGGACACAATACAGAAACTACCCCATAAATTTCAATATTGCACACATGCAAAATGTATGTGTGTGTCCCTTGCCTGGCACGGGCAGGGACTGAGCCACAGGTAATCACAGTAGTTGTATGTGAGGGTGGGTAGTCAGATGCCTGATGGTTTACATATGTGGACAGTTCCTATGACCACATGTATGAAAACAGATGAGAGATCTACAGGGATCCTTATGAAATCAGTTACACATGGACGATTTCAAAATAAAACATTAGATGGAGATAAAAATGGAGAGCTTCAATTAGCTTTTTATAGCATTTAATTTTTTTGCTTTACTCCCTGTGTGCCACATGACCAGCTACCTCTCCAACATTTTTGTTCATATTTGGCAACTAGTGATGTACTTCATTGTTGCAAGTGAAACTGAAGTGTATGCCTTTGCTTAATAATTCCCCCATTCATTTAAATAGTCGGTAGCTTGCCAGCGCTGCTTTGTTTGCATTTTAGAATTATGGATGATGTCAAGACAGCCTTGATTAAACGCTCAGCTAACCACTGCTCGGACAGAAAGGGGCTGAAGTAAACGATTATTTCAGTGAAACTCACAAGTTTGGAGAATGCATATTCTGTAATTTTTTTTTTTTTTTTGCATCAGGATTTGTAATAGAAGAAATTAAGACTCTTAAGGACTTTCCCAGCAATGTGAGACTACCCATGGACATATCAGACATGCAGCATTTGTATACTCTCAGAAGGATTTTGGCTGAGATCTATACCTCTCAATAAGCGTGCTTTCTGCTTCTTCCTTCCTTCCTCAGTCAAGTTTTCATTTCCAAGTATTGGTTTAGAAATTGTAGTTGCCCCAAAGGCAAACCATGAACTACATGGGGCCCACACAAAATGTAGAACTTAGTGTCCCCATTCTAGAGATTTAATCCAGAAGATGACAATTCCCTGCTTGATATATAGTGCTAGACATTTGGACTTGGGCAGAAACTGAGAGACACAGACACGCAAGAGTCCCCGCTAACAGTCAGACCCTGTGGGCAGCAGGAAACACAATGCTCGGTGCACGCGAGGGCAGGTCACTTGCTAGGGGCGCACGAACTAAAACCTGTTAACTGCCCACTACAGCTCAAGCTAACTGATTGCAAGGTCAGTACATAAAACATATGCAATTACTGTCCTTGGTTATCAAGACAGACCTTCTCAGAGTACATACTTTCCTTTCATCCAGCTCATTAAATACCAGTCTAAAAAGCAAAACATACGAAGTGGGAAAGAAACAGCCAGCTCACTACTGGAATAAAAGTTTAATAGAGGAGTCTCAGCTGTGTTCCACATACGTGTTTGAATATGACTAATGGAAGCCTGCAAAAGTCTCCTTTCTTTCCTTGAAATATTCCAGGTAGACTGTCTTTCAGAGAGTGAAATCCAGTAGATTAACTCAGGCTTTAAACCACAGGAGGATTTGAATTGTCGGAGCATAGAGCAGAGACCAAAGACAAAAAAAAACCCCTTTAAAACATTCTTCCGTAAAACAAAAAAGGTGAAAGAAGCAAAATCAGTAGATACAGTTGCAGAACTTGGAGTTTCACAAGGAAACACTTAACTGATGCTCAAGAGCATTTCTTCCACCTGCCTTGGGAGCTCTGTAGAGAAATTAGAACAAGATTACCTTTACTTTCCAGTACAACGAAAGTTAAAAAAAAAGAGTTTCCAGTATTGGATGGTTAACTGGAAGAACATTCTACTGATTTTCTTTAAAAACATATTAAAGCAGAGTTTGCCTCCTTGATCTTATACCTACAACTGCGTTTAGCGACCAGAGTGGTTAAGAATCTAGGAACTGGTCGCTGATTTGTACCACTGAAGTTCACGGTTGTCACAATGCTGTTCTAGACAGATGATGACCTACATATGAACAAGGGAAAGAAAAAAGAATGACTGGATGATACAGAAATGATACAAACGCAAGAGTATGTGTTTAGGCTGTGACACTCATTCTACTTAGGAAACATAAAGGGAGACAAGAGATTAGCTTAAGGCTCACAGATTTACTCCTTTTCTATACATTTTCCTTAGTTTCCCCCCACCAACTCCCTTATTGTCTGAGCAGTCCTCAGTGTCCTGCTGTAGTTATCAGGTAAACTTTAGTGACCTTCCTGCTAATTGTTTTTATATGACAGCTTAATATTCCCACTGGATATTTTAGAGACTAGTTCATGAATCAGAAAAGTCAGAACTGGGAAAGGGCTTTTGGGTCATTCTCTCCACCTCTCTCTGCCATAAACATTGCAGGCACCCCCCTCCCCCCCAAAAAAAAACCCCAAACCAAAACAACTGGCATTTTTGCAGCCTAAAACGCGATTGAAAAAGAAAATGGAGATGCTCTGAAGTGCAAATCCTGCAAGTAACTATGGGTGAACTACCTAATGGATTCCCTCATTTCTCTGCCATTTATTTCCTTCCAGTTTTGTTGCTGCTTTTGTAGCCATCAAAAGCAACTTCTTGCTGACAATGATCATTCTTGTACTATATCATAGTCTACTCTTAGTGTTTGCCTCTGACATTCACTCTGCATTGCAGCATACTATCATTTGCAATTTTGGCCCAAGAGCACAACTGAGATTTCCAGTTCTCTTGCCCGTACTGCCCAGGCAGTGACAGACAGATACACTATAATGTAGGCACTAGAGAACTGATGAATAGTTATTGGTAGTTCAAATGGGATAGCAGTACTGGTAACAATTTTCTCTCTAACCTACTGTCTTCAAGCCTTATAAAGGCTAACACTGCCTTAAGAAACACTGTTTGAATTATTCCTCTTCCCTGTGATTATAGCCAGTTCTGTTGGTATAGAATTTACCTTATGCTACTTCATTAAAGCTACTTCTATAAAAACAGCTACTGTTATATAAACATTTATTGTTTAGCACATCTATCCTTTCCCTGTAGCTGCAGAGCTGATATGCAGATAATACTGGCCTCATTTATAACTTTTTAGTTTACATCCCCTTCTCCATCTCTCAAAGGAAGAGGGTTTTCTAGCTGAGCTTTAAGGTTCTGGTCACACCAGACCTTGTAACAGGTAGGATCTATGTGAAAGTTTAGGATTCTTCTTGTCTTTGGTACAGACTGCCTACTAACCCTGCTGGAAGACTCGCTTGTGACTTGTTGCCAAAAGACTAGTTTTCTACAAGCACAGGCTCAGCTCTGTTGGCAAAGACAGGATTTCTTGACTGTCCTGTCTGTGGGTTAGATAACGTTTGCAATAGCTCTTGTAGTTGGCTAATGAACCTTGGCTAATGGATTTTTGTTTAAAACAAACAAAGGCTCTTCTCTGTTTTCCCTCTCCTCCTGCATCAGTCAAGTACAGTCTGGCCCTTTGGTACAGCTGGACTGGTTTTCATCAGCTGACTTAATATATTTCTTAGCCTCCTCGGTAGCTTAGTAGAACCAGGTGGTATGAACAGCAAAGGAGGGATTTCCCTGGCTAGAGCTTTCCTTCATATGTCATGCTCTGCTGTGAAGTGAGCCCTGGGCTGCCACTGTGCCTGTGAGGCAAAGGGTCTCAGAAGCCCAGGCTGCACCCAACACTGGAGCTTGCACAGCCAGATGGAAGACAAAGAGCCACAAACAAAGGCTGGGCAACCTCAAATGTCAATCACAAAAGTCCAGAGTACCAGTACTAGCAAATTAAGCATCGTCTGAGAAGCGCAGCTCAAAGGCAATTCTGTCCTTAAGCATGTGTTGCCGGCTCCTCTCCACAGGACTCAGCTGTCATCCAGAGCCAAATGCAGCATTTGTCTCTCCAAATTCTTCAGTTTCTGCAGAATCCGAAAGCACTGAGAGTCACTGAACTTCTATTGGTCCACTAAATCCGGGGGAGGAGGGATAAGATCCCGTGGGTTCAGCCTAGCAACAAGGCAAACATCATAGCTGTCGTGCATGAGGACGTTGATGGCCACCACGTTCCACTGGTTCTCCCATGTATCCAGCTCAAGGATCTCTTTGATGATAACTTCATCACGAGCTGCAAAACAGAAGCAAGAACAGCAGGCGTCAGGAGTCAAGTCAAGGATCTCAGGATCAGAGAGGTTTGTGTGGTTATTATTATCACCCTTCTGTAAGGTGGCAATGAAAAGGTAATTTTTGTGGTACTAACAGGTACACTGTTCAAAGAGCATGCGAGTTGTCAACATATAGCAAATGAAATAGTGCAGATGGAGATCTGCACGGTGTATTCAGTCCTCACACTCTGGGCTCCAGGTGCAACGGCAGGGACAAAAGCATGAAGTGCTCCATCTTGGTACAAGTATGCAGGTGGCATTTCATTGTGCAATCAATTGTCAAATGCTCATCTTTTAGAGACAGAGTATTGCCTATTGTTAATGAGTATGCCTACATGCAATATGTTGTCTTTTCTTTGCCCCGACTAAAATGCAGCTCTCAGGCTCCTGGAAGCACTCCAATGCTATGGCTTTTCTTGGGTGCAAAGTCTGGACATCCTGTGATTTGGGAAGAAATAAAGTCAGAAAGACACCTCCAGGGCTTTAAATGTACTTTAGCTGTTCTGAAGTGCTGAGGAATTTGTCAGGTTAGAAGAATGCTGTTAAATCACAGCCAATGTTGAGACAAGAAGCTTTTTACCGAGACTAACAAAAAATAATGAAAGAATCACCATGCAGCAGAGAACCATAGTTGTCAACCAGCAGTGCTATATTAAACTTATAAGAACGCAAAACCTTTCTTTGCTAACAAAAGTCCTGAACTCACCAGCAGTTGTTACTCAAAGCCAAGTTCTCTCCTAAAAATAGAAAGTGTCTTTCATTTCTGCTCACTTCTTTTCATCTTAAAGTTGCTTTCTCGCAGCAAGTAACCTTAGTCTAAACTTTTCTTACTTTGAGCTGAGGACATGCACGTGCTTTGCTGTCAGCTTCCTTCTGATGAATTTCTGGATAGATGTATTAGAAGCCAGGTCTCAGAGATTTCCAAGCACAGACACTTCACAAGTACTGGGCTAAGAACCATCATAGCAAGAAACATTGGATACTCAACACTGTTTTATTGAGTCTTGAAAGACTGGTGACAGGCTAAACTTTACAGGGTCCAGGCTGAGGTTCCCATTCAGCTATCCCTTCTAGAAAGCTTTTTTTTAAAAAAAAAAAAAAAAAAAAGACAAACAACCCTATCTTTCACATCTATTGACTGCATCTCATTGTTTGGACACTGCCCTTCTGTGGAACCGACAGCAAAGAATTGAAGAAGGGGAAAAAGAGTGAAATACAGAAGGAACATCCAGAGGCATGTATTGTTTCTCATGTTGGAAACACAGACCACATATTCCTCCAGAGGGCAGCAACCCTGGGAGTTTAGTACCCCCAAGATAGTGCTGTCATGGTTTAGGTTCCATGCAAAATTGGTGTTGATGTTATGATGACATAGTGTCATGGGATTTAAAATATCCCTAGGGCTCCTCTGCAAGTAGCTTCAGGATGTGGGGAGGTCAGATGGAAACAAGACTTCTTCCCCTCCCAGGATCGGTTCCTTTGCTGAGCTGATTCAGGACAGTTGTGTTTACTGCGGGTCCTGCACATGCACAGGAGTTGTGGATGTCTCAGCTTTATGGAAATTTCTGCACATTTTTGTCATGTTTATCTAAGGAAACCACTCACCAACCATTCACCATCTCTGCCCCCTCTCTCACCTGATAAAGGAGCGCAGCACAGCGTTTCTACCCCACAGTCCACAGCCCATACTCATTTTCCTCTCAGTTGTGTCACAATTAATTGTGGCATAATTTTTATTGGCCCAAACCCAGACCTCTGGGACTCTCATAGATCTCTAGGAGCTTGCTCGAGTAAAATTTGGGTAAGATTTCAGGATTTAGCCTCATCTGAATAGTCCTTGTTCCATTCCTTTCTGCTGTTCACAGAAAGTGAAACAATAGTCATGATGGTTTGCTTATTGAACCTGGATATTAAAGGAGGATAATAATACATAGGAAAGCTGCACCCATCCAAGAGAGAAGACAGCAAACTGCTAAAAAACCCAGTTATATGTGAAGAGAGAAGGCACGACTGACAAACTGCAAACAAATAACACGTGCCAGTATCAGCAAAGAGCTCATTTCTATATGACCCTACAAGAGTGAACAGGTTTTTCCTAAGAGCCAAATACGGAGACACAAACAGACCTAAGCTCTGACAGGGGAGGCTCCAGTCCCTGTATTTATTATTAGATCATCATCTTTATGCAATAAATTTTTATGCCTGGATTTTCTTTGGCATGGATGATGACAAAAATGAGACAATTGGAGGAAAAAATCAAATACTGGAACTGAGACATTCTGTGGGTGATTGCAACACTTCAGAAAAAAAAATCATAATTAAAACATCAAAGGCAGATTCAGCAACCCTTCCTCACAAGCCTTGCTGTGTTTTTTCCTGACCCTGGTGACTCAGAGCCTTCAGTACCCCTTGTTTCCCTTTTCTGTGGGATGTTGTAACTGGTTTTGTTCCACTCTACAAATTCTGCTTTCCAGCACATGGAGAGTTAGCAATCATTTCTCTAGTCTTATCTTGTTTAATATGAAAGGAAGCAGCACCCTTTGGATGAGAAAGTTCACATGAGGAAAAGCACTGCTCAAAATACAGTCATACCTCAGTAAAAAATTACATCCCCCCCTTTCTTTTTAAAAGAGAAATGAGCTAAAACACCTCAATTCTTAAGCCTTTTTTTTTAAATTTATTTTTTCTTGGTTAGGACAATAGAGAAGAGAATAGCACCTTTGATTCCAGGCTGTAATGCTGAATTTGGGCTTTAATCCCAATAAACAGTTTTAAGCCTGAAGGTGCAAGTAATTCCAGATTCTGCCTCATTGGTTCACCTTATTTAATTCCAATTTTTTTTTTTAAAGGCAATACCTTAGCAGCCAATTTTGCTTACAGGAGAATAATGACATCTACAAAAAGAAATTGGCTGTACTACACAGATTACCTGCTTAAAAAGCCACCCCACAGAACTCCCTGCCATGCATAGCATTATTCTGCATCACTTAGCAGACAACCACCTTACCTAATGAAAGGATTGCACTCCTTTCCAAATGCTTTCATTTTTTCTACAAAATGAGGCAGTATTTTTCTGCACATTCTTGTTTAACTGTGAGAATTTTTAAGAAACTTTCTTTACGCTATGTTTTTCTGCATAGAAGTTAAACCACTTTATATTAGAATTATTCAGGTGGTACAAACCTAGCGCTAATGCAGATCCTTTTCAAGCAGTAAAACAGTGTTTATAGCAGTATGGTTTATTCCTATTCAGGAAAGGAAAAGGCTAAACCAGCATAGAGAACATTAATTCCAGCACAGATTTATCCCCACAAGGAATTGTGGTATGTTAAAAGAAAATCAGAGCTCTTTTGGTATAGTTATGCCTTTTTGAGGTACAAGTGCAGACTGAAGGCTAACACTGAGCCTACAAACCCATCTTTTCCCAGTGAAAGAATTTGAGTTATACCTGAAAATGTTTAATTTATAAATGCTAAAATCATATTTCATATGTGCAAATATAGTAGTCTGAAAGCAAAATGAGTCTAATCTTTAAATTATCTTTTATATTCTGGTCTGTAAACAAAACTTTCCCACAATTTTTCATACAAAATTTTTCTTTGAATGTGCAGAAAAAACAACAAAAATATTAATTTTCAGTAAGTGATTGCCTGCACTCCATATACACAATCATGTTTTCTATTTAAAAGGTTTATTTTCAAATACAATTCACTCCCCAAATATAGGCAGACTTCATTTTATGCTGTAAGTTTTCTCATGTCATTTGAATCAGGATTGACCATAAATCAGGATGAATCATTGTTGGAAAGACCCCCAGTATGACTTCAGGCAACATAAATATTTGATCTGCTTTTTCTTTTTTTTTTTTTTTTTTGAACTGCGTTCCATTTGTGATTTGGAGGTTGGAGGGAGGAACACCTTTCTGTGTGAATATAGTATTTATTACCACTTTTGGTCTTTTTTGACCTTGCTTTCTTCTTTCCTATTTGGAACGGAACATTCAGACACAATTATTCGGTTTTGGGTTGGGAGGGTTAAAGGGAGGCAGATGTAGAAGAATTAAGCAACATGCTTAACAGGTAGAAAATCTATAGGTCATCCAGGACTGTTAACCATGCAGCTATTATGTTTGTAAACCAATACAAATAAATTCACTCTACTATAGCCTGTTTAGTGTCCCAAGCATTGAACTAAAAAAATTCATGCTGAATTTTAGCTCACTGGAGTTAAATCTATGGCAAGTTTGCTGAAATATGGTCAATATTTCATTATTTCTTTGTAGAAGCCCATTGACATCGGCTGGTATATTTGCCTCCATCTTATGAATGAGGGAACAGAGTTCTGGAGATAGTGAGAGCATGTGCCAAGTCACAAGTCGTAACGCCTCTGCATCAGTGCAGGGCAGAGATATCCAAAGTAGTTTTGGACAAGCTCACCGGCCTACTAGCTGCGGCATAGCTACATTGACATACTGTTATACGGCCAGCAGTACCTAAGCAAGTTTATCCAGAGCAGGGCCAGGTACCTCAGCACAGAACCACACTGTGTAGTGGGGGGTAGTCTCAGTGTCACATCTGTCCTCGCCCAAGAGCTCTGTGCCCTGGGACATCCTCACACAGGCTACTTGCCTGAGCTCCTGCTGGTGCTGGTTCTCAGGTTGTCACAGCACCTCTTCCTTTCCAGTTCACGGTTTCCTCATGTGCTCTATCTTCTTTCGCCATAAATCAGTTTATAAAAAAAGACACCAAACCTGTAGCGGTTAAACTGCTAACTGTCTGCTCTGTGCCTTCCATGGAAAAAAGCACTTGAACACCACAAAGTGCTTGCCAGTTCCCCAACAGTCCCCAAAATGTTTACTCAGGTGTTTCTTTCACTGGCTTCCCCAGTTCTTCTCACCTAACAGCCACCCCAGAGCTGCCTTGAAGCAGTTCATCCTCCACTGCTGGTTTGTACCTGGCTTTGC